TGCATGTAAGGCCAAAAGAATCTATCTCTGATCAATGATGTTGTTCGATCAGTGCCCTGATGACCCATCTCATCATGCAATTCTCTCAGTACAGTTTCTTTGTACTTTTCAGGCAACACAAGCTGTCTCTTGGTTGTGGTTTTTCTGCAAAGAATACCATCTTCATCAATATGAAGTCTTTCCCATTCACGCAGGAGACACTTGCTTTGGGCACTTAGTGTATTAAGTTCATGCCTTGTTGGCTTTTCATTCCTCATTTTGCACTGCATTATTGGGCCAATATTTCCATCATCTTGCTGTGCTTGTTTGATCTCTGTAACCGAAAATTGGTTGTGTGGTTCTTCACTCACTGATGTACACTGGAGACGGGTGAGTATGGGGCAGACCATTGGTGAGTTGAAATCTGGAGTCTCCACAACTTGGGTTATTGCTGCCACACAATCTGAACCCATTTCCTCTGTACACTGTTCCATCATTTCCTCTATCTCAACAGGCATTCTTGAAAGACTGTCAGCATCCACATTCTCTCTACCTGGGCGATATCGGATGGTGAAATGGAAGTCTGCAAGCTCTGCCACCCATCTACATCCAGTTGCATTTAGCTTGGCACTTGAAAGGATGTAGGTGAGGGGGTTATTGTCAGTGAACACAGTGAAAGTAGGCGCATAATAAAGATAATCTCTGAATTTCTCTGTGACGGCCCACTTCAGTGCGAGAAACTCCAGTTTTCCTGAGTGAAGATGATAGTTTCGTTCAGCTGCAGTCAATGTCCGGGAGCCATAAGCAATCACACGGAGTTTATTATCTTGTTGTTGGTATAGAACTGCTCCGAGGCCTTGAGCTGAGGCATCGGTATGGAGGATGAATGGTTTAGAAAAATCTGGGAACCCGAGGACTGGTGGCTCAACTAGGCAGTCTATTAGTCGTTCCAATATGGCTGATTTCTTCAGTCCACACAATTGACTTGTGTGATGGAACCCCTTTACTCTTTCTTGTGACTTGTTTTGTGTTTGTCTGGTTTTGGGATACATTGTTATCTTCCGTGTGCCCTTCAACAAGCTATACAGTGGACCTGCAATACGGGAGAAGTCCCGTATGTACTGCCTATAGTAACTTAACAAGCCCAAAACAGTTCGCAGCTCTCCCACATTGCTTGGTCTCCTGTCCTTCAAGGCAGTCACTGCATTGGTGTCAGCTGGATCAATTTTGCTACCTTCGGCTGAAACAATTCTCCCTAGATAGCGAACCTCGTGTTTGAATAATTCACATTTACTGGGTTTAAGCTTGATCCCATACTTCCTCAGTAGTTGAAGCACTTTTCTGACATGATTGACATGATCATCAAATGAATGACTGTACACTAGAGTGTCATCAAGGTAGGGTACACAGATGTTGTCTCGCACCTCTTCCAGACACTCTTCCATGCAGCGTTGGAAGGCTGCAGGTGCATTCATCAGCCCGAATGGAATCCTTATCCATTCGTACAGGCCCCATGGTGTCACAAAAGCAGTTAAAGGTCGGCTGCCTTCATCCATAAAGCCCTGATGGTAGGCCTTGCCTTGGTCTAACAATGAAAACCATGAGTTGCCGCCAAGACTGTCGAGAATGTCCTGCACTCGAGGGATTGGTTGTCTGTCTGGATGAGTCTTTTTGTTTAGTTCTCTGTAATCTATACAAAGACGTAAGCTGCCGTCCTTCTTTCTCACGCAGACAACTGGTGAGGCATAAGATGAGTTGGATTTCTTGACCCATCCTTGTGCAATAAGGTTGTGCAGATACTCTTTCATCTCTTTGTATAGCGGCTTTGGTACCGACAGGTAAGTGCGTGCTACAGGATCCATATCCTTCAATGATATCTTCAGTTTCAACTTGTCGATACATCCAATATCATCATCTGCTTTGGAAAAGGAAGAGCATTCCTCACGGAGCATCTTTTGCACCACCCCCCTTTCAGATTCACTCAGGTGCATAAGGTCAATTGGTGGGTCCCATGAGGTGTCAGGAATTTGCTCACTCTCTGCATTCACTTGATTCACCAATAATGGGGAGCACTGGTCAGATTTCTCTAAAACCGTCGCTGGGTACACAGCTTGAATTTGCTCTAAGGTGCCCACAACAGTTTTTCCTGACAGCTCAATGTCGTGATCAGTGGGATTTTGCACATCAAGAACAATATAGGGGGGGACCCCCCTTCTGAGTTCTACTAGTGTCTCACAAAACTCCAGACCTTCAGCCCACTGAGGGTTTATGTCAGGCTCAAAGAGAAGTGTAGTGTCTTTCTTCAGCGGGCGGGTCTGCACCTTACAGTCAATCTGAACAGAAGTGTGTTTGGGTACAATGACTTTCTCTTTTGTTGTTCTCACAACAAAATCATGTGATTGTTTAGCAGTCACTAAATCAATAAAGGTTGTGACATTTTCTCTTTTAAGGCAAGGGAAAGCCTCTCTTAATGCCTCGTGCAGCTGCTCAGTTCTTTCAGCATCCATTTGCTCTATAGTACTAGTTTTCAGTATTTGCTCAATGACATTAAAGCCTAGAATGGGCTGCGAAAGACTTCCGCCTTTCATCACTAACATGGGGACTACAAGTTCTTTAGGGTTTGCTCCCTCAGCAGCTAGACCAAAAGTGACTTCAATGAAACCCTTGTAAGGGATGTTTTGACCATTAGCAGCTGAGATTTTTAAATCGTCAGGTGCATCAAGTAACTCAGAAACATCTCTTAATTTCTCATGTGGTAAATACTTCTTTTTCCACTCTTCATCAACAATACACACTTGGGAGCCTGTATCCCATAAGGCTTGAGTTTGGTGGCCTTGTATATAACAGTCAACTATACACTGTTTCCCAACAAGAGCAACAAGATGGGACTGGCTGTCCACCCTTTTGGGGTGAATAACACTTGCCTTTGGGTGCGTGTGCTAATTTACTTGGGGCTGAGAGTGTTTGTTGCATTGTTTTCTGTGTCTGGGCCAGTGCTCAGCTTGGCACATCTTAGAACAATAAGTGCTTTTTTTACAAGCTGCACACCTTCTGAGTCTTTTGAGTTTTCCCAGAACACCACAGTAATAGCAAAGCTGTTGGGACGTTACACTATTATTGGTTACTCCCTGTCCCGTGGGGGCAACCACTGTCCGTTTAAAGGTTGATCTTTGTCTGGTCTAGTTAGTTTCGCCCTGCAACCTGCGAGAAAGTGTTCACTGCTACCACATCGATAGCAATGGTTGCAGTACTCAGTCCCACTTTGCTGGCAGCCAAAGCATTTCCTTAGGCGTGCTCGGTTTACAGCAGGATATTGACGTTGTGGTGCAAACCTCTGTTGATACTGAGCTGTATCACCTCTCCGTCCAGGTCCCACAGGAGGCCAGTAGTTTTGTGGCAGATGCTCAAGATGAGAAAAGGGAACACATTCTGGTGCTGCAAGTGAGGCAGAATACTGTGTTTGTGCCGGACTAGGCTGTTGAATTATTTCTTTGATTTGTGCGACTTCAGCACCAAGATTTTTCAATAATGCCATGTCAGAACGGATTTCTTTAAGTTCATTTAGTAGGTCAGGCTGAGCTTTGCTGATGGATTCAGGTTTTAGGTTTTTCCCTTTTTTATCTGCAGGGGTGTCAGACTGAAGTGAATGCACAGTGGTTGGCCGCTGCTGGGAGAGTAACTTCTTTTTATTTTGTCTCTCTGCTTCATTTGCACAGGCAACATTGAGTTTCTCAAGGAGGAGCTCATCACTGGTTGTGGTTTCCTGTAGGTAGGGCTGGAGGTCACTCTTAATGTTATCATTTTGCAGGCCTGTCAGAACTGTATGAAGGAACATGCTCTGTACAAGCACAGGGTCATATCTTAAGCCAGATTCAGCTTCTTGCGATGCAAACAGAATTTTCTGTCTTAAGTCTAGGGCACGGATTAAGAAAGTTTGTGGGGTTTCTTTAATGCTTTGGACCTCTGACGTGAGTTGTTTGTAAAGTTCTGTTGCCCCTCGTTCTTGGTAGTGGGACCTTAGAATCCTCCTCAGGGTAGGCAATGTAAGGTTGGTTTTGCCCTCTAGGTAGCTACGCAATTGTAAGCCTGGTGCTATTGCCCTGATTACTGCATCAACTATTTCTATTTCAGGGACTCCTTTGCTGATGCCTTGTTCAATCTGATGAGCTAGGCTGGAGAAAGTTAGTTTATCCTTTTGGCCGGGCTCACCAATCTGACCTGATATTTTGAATTCTCTGCCCCACGGTAGTGTCAGAAAAGGTGGAGGGGTTTGTTTAGCACTATTGTCCCCCACACTCATCGACAGTTTGGCTGTACTAGGTTGCTTCGCCTTGTTCTGTCGTGATAATGCAAGAGCCAACTGAAGCGTCTCTATTTCCTTTATCAGTTGTTCTTCTTCTGAGGCCTCACCAACCTGTTCCTGCACCTCATCTGTCTGGTTAGTATCTGAGGTTTTGTGTCCCGATGTACCGTTCTGAGCAGCCTGTTGCAACTCAAAAATTTTGTCTTTCAAAATCAGTAGCTCAGACATTCCCTCATCTTCAAGCTCACCCAGCTCCTCTCTTTCTAAGTGCTGTATTATATAGGAAATGAGAGAGGAACGACTTTTACCCGATACCCTTTCAAGTTTTGAACCAGCAATATTTAGGAAATCACAAACTTCGATCAAAATGTCTCTTGTCACTGTATACAATGTACCAGCAACTTCTAACTTCAGGTCCTCTAGCCCTGAAGACTCCATTTCAGTCTGTGGCTTGTGGAAAAGATTAGTGTGATGTAAGACCTCTTTGCAGAAGAGTCAGTGCAGCTTCCCTGGCACCAGTAGTTAACCTCAGGTTGCATGCAGGTCCCTCTGCGTAACTGTCGAAACCAGCACACTGTATCTCCCACCGTGGTATTTGATGTGAGGGGTTGAATGATGACTGGGGCGTCTATCTGGGACAGCGGGCCCTCATCACATTCATCCCAGCGGTGCCTCCAAAATGTTACCCTCTCGTTGGGGAGCAGAGGCCAGAGGGGGTTGCAGTGGCGTGCCCGCGGGCTCTGCCGGCAGCCAGCTGTGCCAGAGAGGACCGAGCTTCAGACCCAGAGGCCTGAGGGCACCCCTCCATATTATCAGCATTTGCTCTTGTGCACCATCTCTGTCGTTACTTAGGTCACAACCAATCACTTCATGGTGGTTTTAGCTCAGGAGGTAGAGCAGGTCATTTACTGGTTGTAAGGTTGATGGTTTGATTCCTAGTCTGCATGCCAAATGTCCTTGGGCAAAATATTTACTTTACATTGCTCTCTGATGCATCCATCAGGGTGGGAATGTTAGTTAGTAAGTACGGTACTTAAAAATCATAGAAGGATGTGGCATGCTGTATTAAGTGCTTTGAGTACTCCAGAAGAGTAGAAAAGTGCTATATGAAAATCAGTCTCTGTATCTCTTCCAGTTGTGTTCCTAGTCTGTTTTGTTCGGTGCAGCAGATTCAGCTTTCAAACTTACAGCCTTTATAAGGGCACCTGACTTTATGTTGTACTTTGAAGTGTGCAGTACACAGGTGGGTACAACAGACAGTCTCGGAACAAGAACAGCAAACCCACATGACATACAGCAAAACAGAACTGGCGTATCTGTAAACAAGGAAATACTTTGGTTGCTGCAAAAATCCAATGTTTTAGCCTGTAATGCTTAAATAGCTGCCCTACTTTTGAAAGTTAACAGGGCAATACTTCCACTTCCAAGGCATCTCTTCCTGGGATTTGAAATACAACAAAGAAAAAGCAAATAAGAACAAAGAAGATTCAGTCATAGCAGCACTATATCTATACCTTGGATTTAATCTGGATCAGAGACCTGCTTCAGACTGAGTAATGTGAAGGCCATAGACATGTTTAGCTTTTCCTTTCTGATTAGCTGAGTAATGTTACACTATGGTAATGAATGTGACTGAGCAACTTGGACATTTAAGCCTAAAATGACATCACTTTGACATGCATAACAGCCACACATTGTGATGTTAGGGAACTGATAGTTTAATTGGAACAGTCCAAAAGCCTGTCAGTGAGGCAGGATGGCTACATGGCAGCACTGGCTCTTTTTACCAGGCAAATTACCATAGTGACTGATGTCAATCACATCAGCTGGTCATGAACATGTAAGTGGACCTTGCTGAGTTGAAGATGTTTACAAGGAATCATTTAGAACAGTTTTATACGTCAACTGATAGAATCCATGAATCTGAAAATGTGTTTCTGAGTGAAAGAGACAAACATGTACAGACTGAACTATCTGTTCAACAGTCAGAGTGTTTCTCTAACAGGAGGACACTCTTTACACTCAACTCGGCACAGAGTTACTGAGGAACCAGGAGACATGAGCATAAACCCAGGATAAAGGGTTTCAGTGAATGTGGTGTTGAAGGTGTGGAGGTGGATCAGAGTGTCAGAGGAGAATCTGTAGAAGGACAGAGTGCCAGCAGGACAGTCCACATACACTGCTACTCTGTTAGAGACAGAGGAGGATGAGGAGGAGATGGATGTCTCTTTCTTATTGTGACAGACATAATGAGGACCATCATCAGTGCAGTACAGACTCCAGGACTGATCATTGTTTCCAAACAAACAGTCATAACTGAGTCCTTTCCTTCTGATTTTGCTGTAACTCACTGATATAATAACTGTTATTCTCCACTCGACCTCCCAGTAACAGCGACCAGTCAGACCATTTCCACACAGCAACTGCTCATAAACATCAAATCTGTCTGGATGATCAGGATATGATTGAACCTCCTCCACACGTGTCACCTTCCTGTTGTTGTCAGACATTTTGAGGTTTGTGTGTACTGTGTTTGTGTCGATTGTGAGTTGACAGGAATCTGATGGAGAGAACAAACACAATCCAGCTGCAGTTATTGATCCATCATCTGTTCATTGATTGACACTTTGATCATGAGTCCTGACATCAGAGATGTGAATGAGTGATGCTTTGTTTTCATGAATCACATTAAAAGCACACTTACACTTCCTCAGACCTGGTCTCAACCATCGGACTCCAGCAGGCTCCACCCTGAAAGGAGGAGGGGGGTCAGACCAGAACAGTCTCTTTCAGCATGCAGTGTTGGGAAGGTTACTTTTAAAATGTATTCCATTACAGAATACAGAATACATGCCCCAAAATGTATTCTGTAACGTATTCCGTTACGTTACTCAATGACAGTAACGTATTCTGAATACTTTGGATTACTTAATATATTATCATGCTTTTTACAACAACGTGAATGTACTATTGCTGTGTGATTTATTACTATTACTGAAGGTCCGCGACTCCGAACTGTAGTAAAGGGACCTCTGACTAATACGGCGGGGTCCCTGTCGGCTCGTAGCCGAAAAATAGCTTTACTTTGTTGTGTGGGTCAACTTTTCTTGCGAGAGACAGAGAGAGGCGTTGAAAGACTGCTCCAACGGAACTTATTGTTTTCGGAGGAAAACACGAACACGGTGTACAGTCGAGTCTTAATAGCTTACTTACAACTGGGCTCGTCAGGCACTCTTCTTGGCTGAAGTGGTTATTATTATATTTACATGCTTCCAGCTCCCGTTTTTCCTCGATGACAACTCGTACCTTTCCACTCCCCTTTTTCTCCCTCCTCGCGCTCACAGACCCATAACGTGTATGGCAGTCCATTCTCCCTGCAACACGGACTACACTGCCCATGATGCTACATTCTTTAGAGCTATGCTTGTAGCATTCTGCCTGTTAGCTTAGACAACAACAACAACAACGAAAAGGCGCTCTCTCACCCAGGAAACACACAGTCGCAAGAGAGAGAGAGCGTCGCCCTGTAACCATGGCAACCGTAACGCTGCCGCCTGGAACAACAGAACGTAGCTGTCAAACAAAACCCAAACAGTCCTGACCCGCGACAAAATGAAACAGGAAAGTACCGCAGTGTAATCCATTTATTTCAACAAAGTAACTGTATTCTGAATACCACCTTTTTAAACGGTAACTGTAATGGAATACAGTTACTCATATTTTGTATTTTAAATACGTAACGGTGGTACATGTATTCCGTTACTCCCCAACACTGTCAGCATGCACATATGGACATTACATCACTCTCATACACATACTGTTAGACACTAATAAAGGAACAGTCCAACATTTTCACAACTACACATCAATCCATACGTGGATCAAACTGTTGATGATCTGGCTTTTTATTGCTTTGATTTCTGAATCTAAAGAGTGAATGCATTTAAACCAGGAACCACAAATCTAGGCATTCAAAGTTGATAAAGTACCATGGAGTTTTGTAGAGTCAAGCATCACACCAAATCTGGTATATATTGTTTCTATTTTATACAGTACATCTTTGAAATTATACATTCCAGTTATGGCAGCACTTGGTGTGGTGATTAGCACTGTTGCCTAACAGCAAGAAGGTGCTGAGATCCATTCCATCACCTGGCCAGGTCCTTTCTATTTGGAGGTTGCACAGGTTTACTCTGGATTCCTCCCACAGCCCCACTGGCCAGTCCACTGAGGTGGCTGGTATTGGAAGAGGTATGCTGGCCAGGTGTTACAGGAAAAATGATTCTATGTTTCTTTACCTTCTTTTAAATGTAGAAAGACTCTAGGTCTGACCAACCATCTCAGTCGTGGGCAAAAAGATGACAGTCAATAAAATTCTAAAAGATAATTTGACGAAAAATATATCAAGAGATAAAAGATAAAACAGTCCAGTGTCCCACTTATGAATTGTATAAAAACACACAGTCCCAAGGCCAGAGCCAGCTATGCCACACGGCCAAGTTACACTCCACATGTTGCCTTTAACAGGGTTAGAAGTTGTCCTTGGAGACCCACCACCCTGCAAGCATATAGTCAGTGGTCATTCAAGCCTCTGCAACTCTGTTGCCTTTAGGCTGTGGCATATAATAGGCCCTGGCCTGCACAGAGAGACAAAACGACACCTTCAGTATAAAATCCATAGCGCAAAAGCCATCCATCCCAAACATATCTGATTTCATCACATTACATACCTGCACAGAGAGACAAAACGACACAGCAGTGTTTGTAGTGTGGGCTATAAGTAGACCAGTGTATCAGTTCTAACAGCATCACAAGGAGGAGTTTGCAAGCTGATCGGGGAGACATGTTGCACTTTTATCCCTGATGGATACGAAGCTGGAGGAGACATTTATGAAGCTTTGCAGAATTTGACCGTTCTGCAACAATATCGTCACTGACCACACACCTGGAGCAGCTACAGCACAAGGCTGGCTGGACTGGCTGTTCGGCGGTTCATGGCTGGCTGCTGTAGCAAAACCGTTTGTCCTTCTAGGTCTCATCATGATAGCACTGCTCATATTAGTGTTGTGTGTGTTGCCATGTCTAAGAGTAATGATTTCAAAGATGATAACAACTACAATGACTGCTTATGTTGCCGTGCCTCAAGAAGAACAGCATCCCGTTGCAATTCTGTTAGAGGAACTTGTAATAGCTGCTAATAAATGACGTGGTGATTAAAAATGACTTGTCAAGTGATCATGCACTGATTAACACATTAGTAGTTTATACAGGTACAACATAAGGTTTTCTTATTCTTTTATTTTCTTTTATTTTTTGTAGTTTTAGTTTTATTATTTTTCTTCATTATTACTTTTATACTTTCTTTTACTGTATTTTCCTTAATTCTTTTATTCTTTTATTTGTTTCATTCTTTAGCCCACATGATTTACATTTCTGCTATGCTGACATTTTGACAATTAAAAAATTGCTAAAGATACTTAATAAATAACCTTCACAGACAATTGTTGTATACATTTAAAATAAGTTAAAACAGGAGGGAATGTTACAGGAAAAATGATTCTATGTTTCTTTACCTTCTTTTAAATGTACAAAGATGCCCTTTGTCTATGGTTAGATTAGTTTAGAATTATCCTTTTAGACTTTCCCAGCAGACATATTGTTTTGGGACATATTGTTTTAGATTGTTTTATCTCTCACAGCTTTCTCCCAGCTCTCTGCTGACGAGACTAGCGCCACATATGGAGTTGTTTATTTTATCTGTTTATTATTTTCTTATCCTGTTCTCACTGTCTTTCCTATAAAAAGTGCCAAGCCTCTGTTCACGAC